AGAAAGAAATAAAGAAAAGGAAGGAAGAGGGAGGGTGGGGAGGAGGGAGGGAGGGATCTCACACAGCCCAGACTGGCCTAGAACTTCCAATTCTCCTGCCAGCTTCAGCATCCCCAGTGGCAGGATCACAGGTGTGCACCACCATTCCTGGCTTGGTATGTACTTAGCAACATACTTAGAGGGGGAAAGAAGGTCTCTGAGAATCCAAATCAAGAGATGAATCAAGTGAACCTCCTCCAGAGACCCAGAGAAGGCAGAATCTTCTGCAAGTATTACCCACAGCTGCTACAGGCTATGGGGGTCTCTCTGACTGTGCCCCATGGGGCTTCTGGGCAGTAAGAATTTGGCTTGGTTGACATCAGGGATCAGTTCTGCTCAGGTGGGTTCCTTTAGGAATGAGTGGGCATGTCACCGAGCCCACTGTTTCTAGCTCTAAATAGATGAATATTTCTCCTGGGTGTGTGGACTGACCAGACAGCTCTCCTTTGGGTCACCCTATAACCTGTACTATGTAAGTGGGCTCAGAGTTAGCGTTATTGTCCTTGAGTGTTAAGTCTATCAAAACCTTAAATACTGAGCTGAGATGATAGCTCAGTGGGTAGAGTGAGTGCTGTGCTAGTGTCAGGACCTGAGTTCAAGCCCCAAGAAGCCCTGTAAGGCAGCCTGAGTAGTGTTTGTAATTCTAGCACTGCTATAGTGAGATGGGAGGCAGAAACAAGAGAACCCTGGAAGCTTTGTGGGCATGGGGTATGCAGGACTTGACAAAGGAACACCTGAACCATGGTAAATGAGGAGCATGATGACCCAAGGTTGCTGACCTCCATTTATGTGCAGTGTGGCATATGTCTGCCCATGCCATCCACACATAAGACAATACCTGACATTTTTTTATTTATTGGGGGAGGGTTGAGACAAGAACTCTTTGTAGTTTTGTTTGGCCTCACACTTACTTTATAGACTGGGCTGACCTTGAACTCACAGAGATTGGCCTGCCTGTGCCTCCCTCTGCTGGGATTAAAGTCATGCCTGGTTTTCAAAAAACAAAACAAAAAAATGTAAACACGAAAGCCTCGCTTGAGGTGTCATAGTAGTTCCTAAATCAAAATCTGAGACACCAAAGTTAGTTCATAAACCTGGAACTCAGAACAAGAACCAGAACAGTCACCGCACCCCACGGCCAGTCCCCTGGTAATTGCCAGGCAGCACAGGCCAAAAGCTGACTCCAGAGTTACTGGGCCTATAGCTGTTTATCCAGGAAACTTGATCAAATGCTGATCCCCTCAGCCCACTGGGGCAGCTGGGCCGGCTTGCAGTGGGCCCACCATCCTTCCCGGACTTGTCCTATTTTTCCTGACTGAGCCCAGGCACATTTTGCCACCTCCCCACTCTTGCTCCTAGGTGCCTGTCCCTGCGGCCACACCCTCTGCACAGCCCTGTTAGGGAGAGGTGCCCCAGCTGCAGGGTTCCAGGACAGCAGTCCCAACCCTCACTTGAACAAGTCAAGTCCTGCTCTGGATGGCTGCCTGATCTCAGCCTGAATTCTGGGCAACTGGCAAGCTGGATCCCTGTGGTTCAGTGCCCTCATCTGGTAGCACCTCAACACCACCCAGCCCCCAGGGAGCCCCTCTCTGTGTGCCTAGCTTCTGGGAATTCGCTGTTGCAGATAAAGAAACCATAGACTGAGAAAATATTTCTCTGTCACAGGGCTGGAGAGATGGCCCAGTGGTCAAGAACACTGGCTGTTCTTCCAGAGAACCTGGGTTTAACTCCCAGTGCCCCCTTGGTGGCTCACAATCATCCGTAACTCTGGTTTCAGGGGACCCAAAACCCATTTCTGGCCTCTCTAGGCTCCTGGCACAAACAGTACACATACATACATGTAAGCAAAAAACCCATACACAAAAATCTTTTAAAAATATTAAGGGGATGTTGTGCAACAGTACATGTGTACAGGTCAGAACGACTGTTCAGTTCTATCCCTCCATGGTGATGTGGATCCCAAGGACGGCACTCAGGTTGTCAGGCTTGTGTGACAAGTGCTTTACCCAATGAGCCTTCTACTTGTTGACCTGAAAATACAAAAAGAAAGAAAAGAAAAGGATCTGGAGGTGGGGAGAAGGCTGAAGAGATGGCCCAGTGGTTAAGAATTCAGTTCCCAGCACCCATATGGTGGTTCACAACCATTTGTTCCAGGGGATTTGACACCCTTTCTTAGATTCATGAAGGCATACAGTATTTTTTCAATTTTTATTTTTAAGTGGATATGTGTGTGGATATGTGCGTGCCAGAGACACTCGACACTGTGAGCTTTGCTTGGGTGCTTGGAATTGAACTTGGGTTCTCTATACTGAACTTCTCTCCAGCCTAATAACACACACACACACATACACACACACACACACACACACACACACACACACACACACCACCTTTGTCTGGGACCAGGTACAGTCTGTAACCCCAGCCCCTGGAAGAAGAATGTTTGCAAGTTGAGAGCAAGCTGGTTGACATAGCAAGCTCCAGGCTATGCAGTGAGACCCTATCTCAACAAAACAAAACCCCTACATCTGCACAGAACATGTATAGACTCTTCCTCGTCATCATCCCCCAACAACATCGTTTGTACAGCATTTTCTTTGTGTTATTAAAAGTCATCTGGGCTGGAGCTGTTAAGAGCACTTGCTGTTCTTGCAGAGGACCCAGGTTTGGTTCCCAACACCTACTCACAACCATCCACAGATACACATAAGGTGCACATGTATACATGCAGGCCAAACATTCATACACATAAATAAATCTATAAAAAGTAATCTAGGGCCAATGAGAAATCTCAAGCTGGTAAAGGCACTTGTCACCAAGCCTGGCAACCTGAGTTTGATTCCCAGGGCCCACATGGTGCAAGGATCCAACTTAAGTTCTTATCTGACTACTACACACTCACCATGGCATACCCTCCCCCAAATAAATGTAAAAAATACTGTAAAGGAAAGTAATCCAGAGAGGCCTTAAAGTGTATGGGAGGACATGAGGGATTACATGTAGTACTCCACCATTTCATACAAGGCACCTGAACCTCTGCAGGCTTGGGTATCTGCTGTGGATCCTGGAACCCAGGAGAGTGTGGTAGGAACACCATTGGAGCCTTCCAAGCCATGGTCTGGAAAGGGTTAACAAGCAAGTGGGACTTGCAGAACAGAAAGAAAGAAAATAACATGAAAGGGAAAGGGATCCCTTATCCCATCTAGTTTGTATTTCTTATTGTCTGCACGAAAGAAACAACACAAATGACAAATGAGATTGTGACTGAGAAGTCCCTTCTCTGGGGATGATCTCAGATGGGTCTCCTAGCTTGCCTGTGGGGTCTGTGAACTTCATCAGCATGCCCCTCCCCTTAAACCTGAGCAGTGTGCTCCATAAACCACTGCACCATTTCATTTGCAAACAGAATTTTGAAGATGAGAAACCAGTAAGACAGCTTGTGTAGTTTTACTTTTTTTAACAACCTTTTTTTTTAATTTGAATGTGGATGTGGTGACACACACCTTAAATCCCAGCACTATCAAGCCAGAGGCCAGCAGATCTCTGAGTTTGAGGCCATTCTGGTCTACCTATGAGCTCCAAGCCAACCAGAGATATACAGTGAGACCTTGTCTCAAAACAAGAACTGTGTTAGTTTGAGAGTCTCATTAGGTAGACCACACTGTGAACTCATAGACATCCACCTGCCTCTGCCTCCCAATGCTAAGATTAAAGATGTGCCACCATGCCTAGCCTACACTTAATTTTAAACACTGAACCTACTTTGTAATTTATGCTCTTTGAGCACTGTAACTTCAAAAGCCACAAAATCACTTATATAGTTATTGTTCAGACCCTTGAAGGCTGCCTCCTGCTCATTTTTTGAATGCCCAGGCTGTCTCAAACATACCTGATTGCCATCTCTATTTATAAACCCAGCTGTTTCATATGGATGTATCCTGAAATTATTTTCTGTCCAAAAGTCAAGATGCTGGTTCCACCTGAGTAGAGGTCCAAAGGCAGCAAACTCCTCATGCTCCAGGGGCCAGAATCAGGCTGCCAGACTGGCCACATGGGAAGATCTGGTTAGCTAAGGGTGTGCCATCTCCATCTGCTGAGTTTCCTCCCCCCCCCCCCTTCCAGCACTGTAGCAGAAGTGATGACTCCTTTAGTGGGGAAGCTTCCAGAGACAATGTACCTGTGAACTGAACATGACCTTATTTTGGTCCATGCAGATGTGAGATAGTTGGACAGGCTCACTGGATTATCCAAGCTCAAATTTATTCACAACTTCTTTGGGTTATCCTGTATCTTTGTCAGTCTGGAGTGAGACCACAGTGGAGAGAATAGGTACATAACCCCCAAGTCTGCACTTGACAGATAGTGGCCCTGTGGTCCCAGAAGGCAGGTAAACCTGTCCAGTGCAGAGCTGCCTGTCCACCCCAGAGCACCCACAGCACAGGGCCAGCATGGGGAGGATATATGGTCTAGGACACCCAGCCTGAGTGACCAGTGAGCACTTTTACTGGAATTTCAGAACATACAGAAACATACAGAACAAAGGGTAGAAATCTTGGGTCCTGGAGCACACAATCCTAAAATGCCATTGTAATCCATGGCACAGCAGAATTCATCTTAATTTAGAAGCACCTGAGCCTGTACAAAATGGAGGACATGGGAAGAGCATGACCCAGGGACCCCCGAGCCCCAGAAGGACTGCAGGACAGTTTTCAATCACAGTCCCGAGGCTGGAACCAGGGAGAATGGGCACTTCCATGCAAAGCAGGCCAGGACTGACTGGAGCCAGTCCTTGCTCTACCCTTCCTCTAGGGGGCAGCACTAGCCACCTCAGTCATAGCACACCACAAAGAGACTGCTTTTCGTAAGAAAATGTCACCCTGAAGCCAAGACACAAGCCTGCCTTTCTCCCTCCATCTCTTCCATCCCCTAATTCCCCGTTCCCCTACAGAAGTTCACTCAAGTCAGGAACAAAAAGCCAACTGTTTATTTACACTGTGTTCTGTACATTACAGTTCCTTGGAAGGTGCCCACGTTGAAAGCCTATTTCAGGACAGAACAGGCTGGAGGCAAACAGTTCAGGGTTTGGGACTCACCCCTCTCCCCTCCCTGGAGCCTAAAGTGGAAGTTCCTTTCCAACCCCAAAGCTAAGGCCATTTGCAATTACTGGCACTGGGGGCAAAGCCCCAGATGTAATCCCTGGAGAATCAGAGCCCATAGCCTGTAGCTACTTCCACCTGGGCCCCAGAAGGCCCAACCCCAGAGCTGAAGTGTGTCCTCAGCACACACTGTCATGTCCCAGTCCTGACATCAGTCTGGTGATTAATGGCACTCTGGTCTGAGCACCAGCAGACAAGGAAGGGCTGGACAGGTGGTAATAGCAGGCAGGGACAGTAGCAAATGACTTCCTTCAGCACACACACAGTGGAGACAAGAGACACAATGGCCCTAAACCCAAATGTACTGAAAGCACTGCAAACCACATGGCTGGGGCTTCCTCCAGAAGAGCCCTGCAACCTCCCTGCTGTAGCCAGTGCCTCATGTTAAAGGTGATCTGTCTTCTATAAATACCCACACCCACACAGAAGATGTTTGTGGGAGAAGCTGCTCTACACAAAGCTATCCTTGTCTGGGATGCAGGGCTTCTAAACTAGCTGCAGGTACATAAGGACTAAGTGTTCCCTATGCTTAAGACTGTAACAAAAGATCCTGTACAAAAGTTACCAAGTCAATAGAGGCTGGGGACCTATGGGGAAGCGGGGCCTGATTGGGGGCAGCAGGAGTCTGCCAGCTGATCTCGGTGGAGGCACATGGATGCACACACGAGTATACACAGGACTGGGGAAGACAGGTAAGGAGGTGTACAAAAGGGGGCAGTCGGTAACAGAGAAACCTGTGTGGTGGCCACAAGGGAAAAAAGGCACAAGGACCCCAAACCATGCAGACAAAAACCAGCTGTGCAGAACAGAAAAGCAGACAGTCCCAACAACAGGCAGGGCCATTAGAACTTAGGCCTGAAGGAGCGGCGGTGGCCTGGGATGCTGCCCTCCAGCTGGTACCTTGGGGTAGACATCCCTGTATTACAGTCACAGTGGGAAGAGGAACCCACGAGCAGGGTACATCAAAGATACCCAGTTCCTGGTGAACAGAGTGATAAGGACTGTCACCTTGCTATGCTTTCAGAGACAAAGCCTTCTAGAAGTGGCTCTCTTCTTAGCTGAGCAGCTAAAAGATGTCACCTGACACAGCTACCCTGACACACCCATGCACATTCAAGTCAAGATGGACCTCAGGACAGGGAGGCCCTCCGAAACTGGGCCACTCTAACGAGGCCCCTTGGTGGGCACATGTTAGTGATGCCAACCTGAGGAGCCACCACAGAGGCAAGTCCTTGGGCTCCAGTGGGGGTTGGGGTAGGAGGAAAGATTGGGAGGAAGGGACAGAGCTGAAGCCCTAAAAAAGAGCGTCACCTGGCCTGCTACAGAATCACTGGGCATGTCAGGCTGGCCTGGTGACTACCCTAAACCTTTCCCAGGTCCCATCAGTCATGTCTACAGACAGGTACAAATTTGCCAGTGCCCCACAGACAGTCATTCCCTGCTTTCTCGGGCCTTGCTGCAGAGCCTCCAGATCCCCTACTGAGCCCAATGTGTAATGCCACCCCTGGACCATCGGAACCAGTATGGATCACAACTCAGCCCTCATAGTGTGAACTGGGTGCTGATTTGGCACTGACAGGAAAGCAACTGGGACAGCCTCACTGCAGTCAGAAAAAGGACAAAATCCAGAGACAAGTGGCCACTGCACCCAAAGCTGCTGTCAAAGCCCAGCTCTTGCCTGATTATCAGCCCCCACTTCGCAATGGGCCCATGCACGTCTCCTGTGACTCTAGGAGTCCCAGGCTGGGGGCCACTAAGGGATACAGACTTCCAGGCTAGTGAGAGCAGCTGGAGTCTCTCAGTGGAACAATTACCAAAATCCATCCACCTTCGTCACCCCAGTCAAAGGCAAGCTTCCTAGCCCTGCTCATGCTGAGACATTTCATGAGGTTTCTCTCTGCTTGAGCCAAAGACCTTGTAGGACAGGAGCCCCCACCTGGAGCTGTGAGGAACAGCACCGGGGAAACCAATGCAGAGAGGTAGGTGCTGAACCATCCCCACTTCCGGTTACACAGAAACTCACAGTTGGTCCTATCATCAACTCCTTTTCATGCTGCTAGGGACTAAACCTCACACCAGGCCCTCTACTGTGCCGACGTTCCCAAGCCTTCTATCGTCAGATTTTTTTCAGAGCCTCCTCAGGCGACAGCAGCACACAGGCAAATTGGCAAACCCAATCTCTAGTCCTGGTGCTCTGCTTGCTTCATGAGTTTGTGTTTTGAGTGTGTAAGAAATAAAACTTTAAAAAGGAATTTCCTCTGTAGACTCTCAAGAAAGGTACCAGTCTGAAATAAAATCTAGCCAATTCGAAGCTAAAAGGAAACAAACGCAGGAAGACATAGTTCATTTTGTCTGGCTTCTAATGGAATGCAAGGAGTTTAGCATCACATAAAAAGTGCATCCCCTTCATGGCCCCCAATCTACTCGGATCTTGGCAAGTTACTGCTGACCCTTCCCCTCCAATTTGGCTAAATTGGCCAAAGCTAAACACCTGGGGCATTCTTAAAACATTCCAAGGCCTGGGCCACACCTGTACCAACTGTTAGAACATGTGAGGAACAGAATATTAAAAAGCCCCCGAAGCATCAACTATGGCATGGGACATTGTGATTCTAAAAGTTAAAACCACTGGTTTATCTGAAATTCAAATTTAACCAAATGCCAAATCTAGACACACGGACATCAAGGGGGAGCTTACCCATGTTTAAGTGAGTTGGGGGAGCAGCAGAAGCAAGAGCTCCAAGTTCTGCAACCCCCATGAGTGATGTGGTGCCAGAGTCCTGGGCTTGCAAGCTCAGAACCTTTTAAAAATGAAATGTGTGTGGTGACTCATGCCTGCAATCCCAGCACTCTGGAGGCTAAGGCAGAAGGATTACCTTGAATTCTAGGGCACCCAGAGCTACAGTGTAAAACCTTGTCTCAAAAGATAAAAATCTACTGCCACCACTACAAGAAACAATGACCAAGATCTTAGGCCAAGTTGACAAAGTTTTCTAAGTGCATCCTGGCTGAGAAAAGTAAGAAGGCTGGATTAGCCTGAGGTGTGTGTTGCATGGAAGTCAGCTCCACCCTCAGAAGTCACTCTTCCAGAGGCCTATAGCAAGAGTCCAGGCCCATAGGGGCCTCCAAACTTGTCATTTCCTTGGGGAGTCTATTCTTGCAGTCCAACAACGTGGGCCAAAAGCCTTCCCTGCCTGTTGCCTTGACAGAAATCCCCTTCCTCTTCTGCTATGCTGTGACTCTGGCTTCTAGCCCTATCTGGACACCAGTGAAACTAGAGGCCCATACAATTTCAAGTACAAAACATCCATCCCTGGGGCAGCTCCCACAGGCCAGGACCATTACCAACTGGCCTCTGCCACGCTCCTCCCAGCATGACACCTGAACCAACCTCAAGCCATGGTTTATTTTCCCTTCCTACTGACATAGCCTCAGGAGACACTAACCTAGCCTTTTTCTACCTCTATCTTCCCAGACCCCAGAGAATGCCCGCAGAGACCTGCACCTTAAGATCAAGCAGTCTTGTCTTCCTGGTGTGGCTCATGCAGGCAGTGCAGGGTAAGGTGACCCACCTACCAACTACACAGCATGAGACAACTCTGTGCATATGATTAAAACAGGTCTCAAAAGCCAAGGAAAGCAGGAGTGAGTGGGCTGAAACTGGTCACAGCCTTGTCTCTGCCAAGCAGGGCAAAATATCCTAAGTCATCTCTTTACCTTCAACTGCCCCCCTTTCCGCTCACTAGCCTCCCCAACGTGACCAAACGTTCCCTTTTACGCAAGACGTGCTCAAGAAAACAAACGGAAGAGGAAGAGGCAAGACCATCCATGTTTATCTGGGCTGGGGATAAGGAAGCCAGTCACAAACCACATAAAACAAGAGATAAACTAACTGCCCAACAGTCAAGGTATAGCATCAATGCCCGGATGCCTAGAACAAAACATCATATTCTTTTAAAAATCTGGGGGTTGGGGGGAATCCCCACCATGTATTCACAGAACGGAAGACTACGGTTCCCCCATGATGTTCTCCACTGACCTCCCACTGGCAGGGCCTGCTCTAACAGGGGAACCAGATCCAGGTGTGCCTGAGAGCTGTCAGAAGGGTGTGGCCACCTCCCCAGGCCCGCCCTCACCAAGGTGCATCTGTGCACATGCTAGATGCAGCCATGGGAACATGTCTCCCAGGCAATCACTCCCTTTGGCCCCCAGTGTTAACACCTGCCTTGGACACTCCACCCTTGTTCTTGGCCTTCCTTCCACCCCAAGTAAATGCTGTGTATAGTTCTCTTCTTCAAAGCAAACTGAAGCCAAACCAGAAAGGGGAGGTAGGAGAACCAGGCTGGTAAGGGCATGGAAAACTACAAAGGACTCAACCCAAAGGCATGGACAGCGCACGTTAGCTGCTCTGTAAACTCAAATCCACTGGTGCCACTTATCTGCACCCCAGGGGACCATCTACAGGGGGCCCTGTACCCCCTCCAACACCCTTCCTCCTCTTTGAGCTTAAAAAACCTGGGTTTGAATGATGGCCAGAAAGGCTAGCAAAGACACCAAGCTCTGGAGAGCATAACAGTTTTGTTCCTACTCTGGGGTGAGGGTAGGGTTTGGGGGGGCATCTCCTGAGAGCTTCTTCTAACCCTTATCCAGAGGTAGAATCATTTCATCAGTATCCTACATGCAAGCTTCCAGTCCTTGCTGTTAACTCCTGAGAGTCTCCCTCCCATATCCAGGCCCCCTCAGCCCCTCACAAAGGGGCTGCAAAGTGCACACACAGCTCATCATGGGGTTTTTTGGTCACCCACAGCCATGGCCCTAAGCTCACTCCTTGCCTGTGTGTGCAGTCTCCCGCACATACACTAGCACACACATACAGGGTGGTCAGAGGTACATTTACAGAGTGAGTGTGGGGTCCTGCCTGCATCTTTATCCTCAGGCAGGCTGTCCCTAGGTCCCAGGTCCAATGGCCGCTCTGCAGCCAGCCCTGGCTCAGTGTTTGATTTCCAGGATGGAAGGGTTGTGGTCCAGTATAGCCAGGATAATCTTGTCCATGTACTGCCTCAGTCGGAAGTTGATCTCCTCCTGCTCCTTCAGGGCCTCCATTAGCTGAAGGGAATGAGAAAGGTGGGTCAGAGGCTGGGCCCAGGCTGGGCTTACAGTGGGCCAGTGACTGACAACAGAGAGGCCCCAGGTCAGCCTGAAGGCAACTGGCCTGGGGAGGGGCTAAAGCATGGAGAAAATTTCACAAAGACTGGGAACACTGGTCAGATGTACTTATAATCAGGGCTAATGTGTATAGTCCCAAAAGATGTTTGGGGCTGCCAGCCTTTCCTCACTCCAGGCCTGCCTTAGCCAGCAGCTCTCACCATGACATTTAGGTGCAGCCGAACTGCTGCTCCAACCCTACAGAGTTACCCGCTATCCTAGATCTCCTTGAGGCCAGAGGTCATCCCTTAGCTCTTGAGTCTCAAGTGGAGGCAAGATTCGGGTACAAGGGGAACTCAGTTTCACATTCAAATGCAGCTGAGTGTTTTGTATTTGAGGTAGAAAAGATGGCCTAGGCGCTGGGGAGTGAGGCTCTTTCCCCGCTGCCATCCACGTGGTTATTTCTACAAGTAACAGGGAAGTGTTTATGAAGCTGCAAGCTGAGACCAAGTAAACACGTGTGCAAAGGTGGATGTTTAAGAAATTCTGGCCGCCATCAGGGTGAAGTCTCAGGAGGATCTCTGATCTGAGCTCCACTCTAACCTGAACCCAGAGCTCCTAAGGAATGAGGGCTAAGCTCCTCTCCTGTGCTGCCTTCTGCTCAGCTCTGCCTTACTGTGACTGCAGTAATGGAGGGCAATTGGGGCCAGGCCTTGGGCTGCCTCTGGGAATCCTGTGTAGCCTTGGTTTCAGGGTCCCAGCAGGTAGGAATGGGGACAGGACCCACAGAATAGCGATCAGTCACCAATGTGAGAGTCCAAGGGAGTGAAGGGACAAGGCTACCTCGTCCCGGGATGCTGTGTCGATTTCTGCAGCCAGAGACTGGGCTTTGGTCTGGGTGGCAAAGAGGTTCTTTGCCTCATAGAGGCTGAGGCTCAGGATCTGCCCATTCAGGTCATCGTTCTGATCCCGCAGCTTGTGATTCTCCTGTGGCAACAGAACAAAAGGAACCTGAGCTCTGGGAGGCATTGGGAGCCCGCCCTCTGGAACCCACCTCTCCCTGTCTGTGTCCTCAGAACACCAGCACTCTCCTTCAACGTATCCTGCGGGGCCAGGAGACCAGCAGCCGACATGGCCTCTGCAAGGCCACAAAGGTCAGAGAACTGAGGCCCGGCTCAGAATGTGGCATGCCACAGTCCCCAGTTAGAAGGGGAACTGCAGCCCCGCATGGGAGAACCAGGAAGACAGAAATCTTTCCCCTCTTGGGTCCTAAGGGGAACACTGGCCACCAGCAGCTCAGACTGCAGTCCTGGACCTGACTGAGGGAGGGGCTATTCTGAATTCTCTGTGCACGAAGGAGAGCTGGTTTTCCTGGTTCCTCCTATAGCCAGGGTCTGGGACCTGCTCAGAGGGAGCTGTTTCAGAACATGCTTGCTTGCTCTGGAAGGAAGGTGACACTGAGAGCCTATAGCTTACCCTAGGAACCTGAGACCCCCTCCTGGGTGGGTGATGGGCTAGCTGTACTTCAGGAGATGGCCACTAGGACTTCTGCCTGGGTGAATTTGCTCAGATGTGATCCAAGACCAGACTTTGGCCCATAGGCCTGCCTGAGTTTAGGTTTCACTGTCTTTTTGAGCCATCCCCCCCTTCCTGACCCCATGCTTAATCCAGGCTGTGATGGGACTCTATGAAAAGCCAAATCTCAAGACCTAGGCCCTATTTGCCAGAGGCTCCCAAGCAAGCCTGAACCTGCAGCTTGGGGATGGTTTCCTTACCCCAATACCCAGGAGAGGACAGGGACCTAGAGCCCAAGAAGCATTGGCTGTAACTAGAGGTACGTTGCTTGCCCGAGTGTGGGATGTGATGACAGACCCTGGCAATCGGGCTACTGAGAACAGAGCAGACAGCAGGAGGTGGGCTGCTGCCCATGGCTTCCTCTCTATCTCTCTATAACTTCTAAACAGAGGCCCTCATGGATGACCCAGTAGCCTCTTCAAAGCCACTGGACAGTAGGCCTACCTGCTTCAGACGCTTGACCTCATGTTCAAGTTCCACCTCGCGGGCTCTGGCGTTGAACTCACCAAGGCCAGATGAGCTGCGGCCCCTACCTGGCCGCTCACAGTCCAGCTTATACATCTGCAGGTGTTCAAGCTCCCTCCGCAAGTCCTCAATGAGCTGTGAGGGAGAGAAGCCTGTGACAGCAGCAATGACACTGAGGGAAAACCTTAGGCGCTCCCGGCCCAAGACTCACCTCTTGCGTCGCCTCCCGCTCCTTCTGGAACTCAAGGCGGTTCTGCCGCAGCTTGTCCATCATGCGCTTATAAAGGTCCATCTCATCCTTGAGTCGCAGGCTGGTGTCCTCCAGACGGTCAGACATGCGCTGCCGTTCCTAGAGCCAGGCAGACCTGTCAGGGCAATCATCCCCAAAGGGCCCTCATGCCCTGATGGACCTTGGTGTGGCAAATGGACAGGCAGAGCAGCCAGCTTGGGGAGTGCCCTCCAAGGACACTCAAGAATCATAGCAGGAAACACCCTAGGCCCCAGATGTCCTTCAGTGGTGCCAGGCAGAGCTCAAGAAGAAGCTGTTAGCCCAAGCACCCTCTTCAAAAAAAATATTCCGCAATATAAGGCATTTACAACGTATAATACAAGGTTATATTTTCACTGTAGAAAACTTGTAAATTCAAGAATGAAAGTCATCATTCAATTTTCCTTCCTTTTTAATTAATTAAAAATTTATGCTGGGTGGTAGTGGCAGAGGTGGTGCACACCTTTAGTCCCAACACTCAGGAGGCAGAGGCAGATGTATCTCTGTGAGTTCAAGGCCAGCCTGGTCTACAGAGAAACGTTTGTTTATCTTTAAGACAAAACTCTCACGTACCCCAGGTTAGCTTCAGATTTCATGATGTAGCAAAGGATGACCCTGAACTCCCGAAGCCCTTGCCTCTACCGTCTGAGTACTAGGATTGGCAGGTGACAGGTGAGTGCCACTATACCCTGGCACTTCTTTCTCTCTGTAGGGAAATAATTCACTATTCCAGAGACTACGATAGAAAGGCCCTCTGAGGCCACCACCTCTCTGTGGATTCATCGTCATGCTGGGGCCCGCTGCTCACCTCATCCAGTTTCTCTGTCTGCGACTTAAGTCGAGTCACTGTGGTTCTCAGATCAGCGTTTTCTTCTTCTAACTGTTGCACCCTGGGAAAGAAAAATGACAGATCTGAGGATCTAGAGTGGAAATGGTCATTTCCTGCCACAGAGAAGGCAGCCAGTCTCTACCTCTGGAAGAAAGAAAACTACCAACTGAGAGAAAGACTGAGACAGAAATAAATGTCTCACAGGATAATTCAGGTCTAGCAACCCTGATCCGAAAATCCAAAATGTTCCAAACCCAAAACTTTTTGAGCAAGGCATGATGCCACAAGTCAAAATCCCACATCATCATGGAACTGTTTCATGTGCAAAGTCATTAGCCAAGAGTGATAGTACATGCCTTCAATCCCAGCATTCGGGATGCAGAGGCAGGCAGATCTCTGCAAAGCTGGAGGACAGCTTGGTCTACATATAAGTTCCAGGCAGCCAGAGTTAGATGATGAGGCTGCCCCCCCCCAATATATTTGGAGCCAGGATGGGCTCCAAATCTACGCAGAGAAATCCTGTCTTGAAAAGCCAAAAAACAAATAAACAAAAAAGCAGCAGCAAAGGAGCCAGGGGTGAGGGGCAGTGGTGGTGCACGCCTTTAATCCCAGCACTCAGGAGGCAGAGGCAGGCGGATCTCTGTGAATCTGAGGCCAGCCTGGTCTGCAGAGAGCGAGTTTCAGAGCAGCCAGGGCTACACAGAGAAACCTTGTCTCAAAAAACAAAAATAGAAAAGATTTTCATGTTTAGATAGGGTCCTACTTCCAAGATATGTACACATGAATATGTATTTCAAAATCTAAAAATTTCTGAAATCTGGCCTCCACATGCATACATACATGTGTACACACACCAAGAACCCTTCGTGAAACAATGAGGTAGGGTGTTTCCTCTAGACGGAGCAGTCCTCCTATGTCCAGGCTTCACCTGTTAACACTGCTGTCTGAAGGCTACAACCATGTTGGCTCTCTATGCTCCAACCCGGGAATCCTGGGAGCTCTCTGCAGCCATCTCTGATTCAGAGGTAATACTCCTCTATTGGGCATTTGCAGGGCCCCAGGCTCAGTTTACCCATGTTCAAATGCAAGGGAGAATCTAACAGCAGGGGGAGCTCCAAGCCTTCAGGCACCAGCCCTGCCTTCCAACATGCCTCTGCTGCTCAATGACCAGGTTACTATGAAGTGCATCCTGCCTGCTCCCTGAAGAGCTGACCTGGGCAATTTTAAAGCATCTGAAGTACAAATGCTAGAATGGTAGGCTCTGCTTTACTGAAAACACTTGGGGCCAGGCACTACCAAAGGGCTGCCAGGGCAGAGGGTACAGCGAGGCACAGTGGGCAGAAGGCCTGGTGCCTACCTGGTATTGAGCAGCTCCAGCTCAGTGCTCTTCTCCCGCTCCAGCTTGCAGTAGACCTCACGGTGTCGCCGGGCCTCCTCCTCCAGAGCCTGCTCTGCTGTGGTCTCCTGATCCTTCACCATCTCCTCCAGCTCATGCACCCTGAGGCAGGGCGTGAACAACAGCATCAGGGCAAGCGCTCATGCCTGGACCCCGCCAAAGCCCCCCCCCCCACATATTCACTGTGATGTGGAGAGTTTGTGCCATGAGCTTGGGTGACAGGTAAATTAGGGACACTGTGACATCTAAGAAGTGTGTCAGCTATACTCAAGGGAGAAGCAGACCCAGTGAAGAGGCTATGCAAACGGCTTCAAGGTCTGTCTTTTCTGCTGCTGACTTACTACCCATCACCACCTCCTCCCAAGACTCCACCAAATCCTGGCAAATGGCCATAAGAAATCCAGAGCCAGGAAAAGGTCAGGCCCTCTGGAGTCATAACCTAACCTACAACTGGAAGCCTCCAACAGTTCACAGTTCCTCCATCAGGCTAAGCTAGGGCATACAAGAAGGCAATGGGGGAAGGACCAGACCCAGAGACAGGGAAGTCTACCAGGTTTCTTGCACCTGGTGAAGGCAGTCAGCATGGGATAGCATACTTTCCGGTGTCTCTGTTGTCCATCACATGGGCCACCTGGGCCCTCCTCCCTTCCACTCCCCACCACAGGGCACGTTCCCAAGAAGGGAGGTCGGGTTCTAGTCTCTCCAGTCCAGTGGTTCTCAATCCTCCTAATGCTGTGATGCTTTAATACAGTCCCTCATGTTGTGGTGACCCATGACCATAAAATTATTTCTGTTGCTACTTCAAAAATGTAATTTTGCTATTGTCATAAATCATAATATAAATATCTGATGTGCATGATATCTGATATGTGACCACAAAGGGGTTGAGACCTATAGGTTGAGAACCACTGCTCTAAGCAGCGACAGTCATGAGCCCTGGGCTGTACACAGAGCAGTACTATCTGGTCTGGAATCAGGGCTTCTCCACTGGCAATGGGGACACTTCACCTTCCTAAGAGCCACCCTGCACCTGACCTGTGCACCAGCTGCGTGTTCTCCTGCTTCAACTTGCTCTTTAAGTCCCCACTGGTCAGGGTGTCGTTCTCCAGCTCTGTGACCTTTTTCTCCAGGAAGCTCACCTGCAGCATGTGGGGTAAAACACATTAGGAAAGGCTTTAGAAGCACAGAACTAAGAATCTAAAAAAGCTCATAACAAGGATCTCCAAATAACTACTCATAAAAGAGCAGGCATACTTGGAAAGGAAGGGACATGTGGCCAGTGCCCTTCCCCACCCTGATCTCCTAGGTAGGCACACAGTCCAAGCTCCAGAGACCAGTTTGGAGCACCATACATCCCAGTAACATGCATAGTGTCCCAGGGCCCACCTTCTCTGTGATGTCATTGTCACATGAGTCAATGCTGTCGCGGAACAGGTCCTCAGTGCTGCCGTTACTGCTGCTGAAGTTACTGTTGTGCATGAGCTGCCTGTGGGGGTGGAGGGCACATGCCTGCAAGTCTGCCACAGTCTGAGGCCCCAACTCAGGCTATGGGCTAGGTGAGTATTCCGTACCAGGCGGTCAGAAAGAAAGCCCCAGGAGAAACACTCTACCTGACCTTCCTGCCCAAGGGACTGTCTGCTCTAAGAATTGGACAGGGCACTCCCCAAGGCCTGTCCTTCACTGAAGTGAAAGTGCCAATAGCCATGGGTTGGATTATGGTTCTCAGGGCATCCCAGACAGCCCACTTAAGCTGAAGCAGTGAGGATCTACAGATGCTGGCCCTGCTAAGTGGGGGAAAGGTGGCAAGGGCAGGGAAGGAGCTGCTCTGTCCTTGCTGCGGTCTCTGCCACCCAGCTGGGGACTGCTTCACAACAGTCTGCTTGCTTGGCTACATACAGGGCACAGGCTGAATCTTGGCTACCACCATGGAGCCCCCACCCTAGGACAGCAGAAGCGAGTGAAGGTGGGAAGCACTCAGCTCGCCGTCTCCCAAAAGGGTCTTACCGTCCGAAAGCTGTGCTTGAGATCTTCCGGTTGGGGCTAGAGAGAGAGAGGGACACAAGCCACTGAACAGAGGGGCACTGGATATGAAGGGACATCATTCATCAGCTTGGTGCCAAGGTGCTGCAGAAAACACCCAGCCCTGCCCAAACACCCACATTCCTACCCACAGAGGGGGCTTGCCTTGCTAACCCTGCCTAGCCCCGCCTCTCTGGGCTGTGAGCTCACCTGTTGGCCTTCAGGTTTTTCAGCCGGGCCTCCAGGTCATTCAGCAGGTTGATCTTCTTGCAGCACTGAGAGCAATACACATCCAGCAGCTCACTGTTGTAGGCGTGCCGCATCTTCCTTGGGGTCTGCCCCGCACTGGACCAAGAGGAGAGGGTGTCACTCTACGCTGCTGGCAGGCTGTGTGCCCTGCCCACCCTGCTTAGAACTCTACCTAGTTCCCCAAGTCTTTTTTCTTCCTACTTTGGGATAGAGAAACAGAAATAAGCCAGCGAAATCCCTTCCCTATGGTTGTCAGAGAAAGCTGGGGAGATGAACTCAATTAACACATAAGGCATACTGAGAGCTAATGTCACAGGACAGAATGACTCAGGCAGGTGAGAAGAGACCACAGAAGGTCACTTGGAAGGGCCCTTTAGTCCAGAGGTTCTAGGAAGCATGATGACATAGGAACCCTCCAGGGGGGTCTATAGACTCACAGACCAGTTTACTATTTCTTCTCAAAGATAGCAGGGGAAAGGACCCCCAATCAGGCTAGAAGAAGGGGGCGTCCCACATTCCAGGAGAGCCACACAGCCCTGGACAGAGAGAAGGATGTTCTTTGCCTGTCTGACCCACTGCGATGAGGCTAGGCTGGTTTTGCCATTTTCCCTGGACTCTGAATGCCAACCCAGAGCAAGGGGACCACCTGGAAGACACTGACGATCCTAGATCTGAGTAGACATTGGTTCTGGTCTCATCATCAGGGCAGGGGCTGCTGGGGGCACAGTCCACATCATCCCCCTCTCCATAGTCTTCAAATTGCTCCTCGTTGCTGATGAGAGAGGCGGTGGAGTGAGTGGAAAGGTCTGATGTGGTCATGGACGGAGTGAGGACGAGGGACCTGAGGGCCATAAGCACCCAGTTAGTGAAAGACAGAAGGCCGACTTGCAGCTCCTGGAGGAAGGGAGGAAATCAGCCTAGCCCTATGTATAGCAGGAGCCTAGCCAAGTCTAGACCTTTTGACTTTGGAGACCTCATCCTAAGGGGAACATCCCACACAGAAATTTCCACCATAAGAAACAAAACACTGGATGGGTAAGCAATAGATAGATTAAAATTACACTATAATTATAGTTACTGAATTAGAATATGTACCACTGATTCAAATTATTAAATTATAGAGGATCAAATGTCTGTTGAAAGGCTTATACAAATATTGGCAAGAAGGCAGAGAAATAAGAATCAATGATAAGTTAGATACAAACTTTGAGACTTAGTAATTAATAAACTTATTTATTTTGGGACAGATTTTACTATGTTGGCAATAATGGTGCAAGCCTCTAATTCTAGCATTCAGGAAACAGAGGCAAGCAGACCTTTACGACCAGCCTTGTCTACATAGCGTAATCCGGGCCAGCCACGGCTATATAGCAAGACCCTGTCTTTTTTTAAAATAAAGGACAGGTGGTGGTGTCACACACCCAGTACATGGGGAAGCAGAGGCAGGAAGATCTCTGTGAGTTTGAGGCCAGCCTGGTCTACAGAGCTAGTTCCAGAATAGTAAGAGCTACACAGAGAAACCCTGTCTCAAGGAAAGAAAGGGAGGGAGGGAAGGAGGGAGGGGAGAGGGAGGAAGGGGAGGGAGGGGAGAGGAAGGAAGGGGAAGGAGGGAAGAGGAAGGGAGGGAGGGAAAGAAATATAAATAGTAACATGATAATAGGGCTTAGGTTAAAGATGCTTGTTATTTTCTCCAATTCTCACTTTTTTCCAACTTTTAATTATCTCTTAATTTTAAAAAATTATTATTATTATTAGTAGTAGTAGTAGTATGTGCGCGCACACAGGCATACCAGTGCAACGGCTCATGTGCAGAGGGGACAGCAGAGTTCTGCTTTGTTGATTTTACTGCCTCCTCCAGGCCACTTCGCCTGCTTGAGGCTCCTGTCTCTGTAGGAGTGCTGGGTTACAGATGCTAACTACCACATTCAGCTTTGTACAGGAGCTCTGTACTCAGGCCACACGGCAAGCACCTCCACCCACTGAGCCAGCTCTCTCAAGACAAGTAAGCATGAGCTACCAGGTGAGAATCAGCCCCCAATTTGTCAAAGACCCCAGACTCTAGGGCAGTGGTTCTCAAGTACAGTTCTTCAAGTTGTGGTGACCCCCAACCATAATACTATTTTCATTACTACTTCATAACTACAATTTTGCTACCTTTATGAATTGTAATGTAAATATCTGATATGTAGGGTATCTGATACACACCCCCATGAAAAGGTCATTTGACAATCTCAGGGTCGTGACCCTCAGGTTGAGAGCCACTGACTGGTTGGGGCCATCTTCAACCTGAGAGCAAAAAGAGGTTCAGCCCACAGCCTGCCTAAGTCTATCTTCCCATAGTCACAGTAAACTTTCTCCTCGTCCACAGATCATGACTCCCCAAGCTCAGGGAGTCCACACTCATTGTGGGAAACTTGGATCCATGGGAAAAAGAAATACACACACACCAAAAAAACAACATAAATAAATAAACAAACAAAAAAACAGGTTAGTTCTCAAACCATAGCTCCAGGGAACCCCAGCTTCTATAAGGATCACAGCTCTAACGACAGGATAGATACTAAGGATTAAGTCCTTTGTCAGCCAATTGCATTTTATGTATTCACACGTTGTCTCCCCTCAGGGTCCTCTGTATTTTGAGCCTGAATGGTTCACAACCTCCCTTGCCCCCATAAATGTTGGTAAAACCTCACCAGGGCTGGGGAGACGGCTTGTAAGAGGAGCTGAATTCAGACCCCAGCATTGGGAAATGCCCCTGCAAACTCACAAATGCCCTCTTCGGGCTTTTATTATCCATCACACACAGACACACACACACACACACACACACACACACACACACACACACGCACACACGCACACATGCACACGCGCGCACGAGTTGATCTTGCAGAGGTTGGCGGCTCACAACCATCTGTAATTCCATTTCCAGAGGACCTGACACTATCCCTCTTTTGCCACCTGTGGGCAACAGAAACACGTGTGATGCACATATATACATTCAGGCAAAACACTCATACATACAAAAATAAATCTAAAAACAAATCAGGTGTGATCATGGCATACACCTTTAATCCCAGCACTTGGGAGACAGAGGCAGGCGGATCCTTATGTTTGAGGCCCAGCCTGGTCTATAGAGTGAGTTATAGAACAGTCAGGGGTATACAGAAGAAACCCTATCTTAAACCCTATCTTTAAAAAAACCAAAAAATAAATCTGAAAATAAATAAATAACTTTAAAGATTAAAAAAAAAACAAAACACAAACTCTTGGTTCCCAGCCCTGGTGATTAGTCACAGGAAACAAAAGGAGAACCCAATGGCAAATGATGGCTCCCAGATCTGTGAGTCATGAACCACTGTTCTTGTGTCAGCCCACTTCAAGGGCCCCTTGATGGCATCCTGACTCTGAAAACCATGCAAACACAAGAAGCTTGGGACTGAGAAAAGCACAGGTGGCTCAATTATGAAAGTTAACTTTTTTATGAAGTCTGAGATGATTAAAAATTGGTAATTCCCCCAGCAGTGGTGGTGTACACCTTTAATCCCAGCACTTGGGAGGCAGAAGTGGGCGGATCTCTTGAGTTTGAGACCAATCTGGTCTATAGGGTAAGTTCTGAGACAGCCAGGGCTACACAGGGAAACACTGTCTTAAAACGCCAAATCAAAACAGTTGGCAGTTTCATGTGGTTCAGCCACTACTAAAGCTCCTTGCTTACTCCCCCTTCTCCTTCCCCTTGACCCTCTCAAAGACAGTCCTTTCTGCTGACAGCAAACTGAATATCGGGAACTGCCGCTCTGCCGAGAAGCTAGACAAATGTTCACCGTCTCCTCTTCCTAATGCTGGGACTTGAACCCAAGGCGTTGGTGATAAGAGACAATTGCTCTACCAATGAGTTAAGGACAGCCCAGTCCACTCAGATCTTATTACTGTTTTAAAACACTTCCGAGGAGAGCCTAGCATTAATGCTGAAACACAGACTGTAGAAAGTGACTTAAATGATAAACCTCCCACCTCCCAGAAACCATCACTGCTCAATTTCAAAGACCAATTTTCCCAAGCATTTCCTAAGACATCTTTGTAATGAGCTTTTTAAAAACGACCACAATAAAAACAAAACAAAACAAAAAACAGTGCTAGAGTCATAGGATAAGTGCTCACCACTAAACTACATGCTTGGCCCTGTGTCTGCTTTTTTTCTTTTCTCGTGTTTTTGAGACAAGGTTTCTCTGTGTGGCTTTGGAGCTAGGTCTGTAGACCAGGCTGGACTCCAAACTCACAGAGATCCACCTGCCTCTGCCTCCCAAGTGCCAGGATTAAAGGTGTGCACCACCAATGCCTAATGGGTTCATATCATTATGAGATCATACCCAGATCACTGAGTAGCCATTAGAAGTGGAGTTCTGAAAGCCACACATGGTGGTGCGCGTCTTTAATTCCAAGAGAGAGGCAGGCATATTTCTGTGAGTTCAAGGCCCCGCCAAATAAAGCTGACTTCTGCAGAGACCTGAAATTCTGGGATCATTCCTACTACCATGAAACCTGGGGAAGTTAACACCTTCGGTGCCAATCCCCACAAGGTGTCACATGTACTTTCTGGAGATACCTTCCAAGAACCGCACTTCTGGCCCTGGGGCCGCATGCCATGCTGCTCACTCACTTGTCCTCTGGCAGGTACAGGCCCCCCAGTTCAGGCTCCTTCTCGCCAGGACTCCTGACAGAGCCCTCCAGGCCCTGGCTGCTCTCCATGGGGCTATCCATTTCTAACTCCTGGGGTCCCTCAGGCAGGGCCAATGTCATCGCTTCCTCCTCGTCTTCCTGGAAGAAGCCAGGTTCCCTGGAGAGGTGCTCGCCATCAGCAAAGGTAGAGCTAGAGATGTCGCTGCCCTGGCAAAGACAGAAGGACAGAATGAGTGATGTCAGCTTCCTGGAACTTAGTACTCATCAATCAGGATGGCCAAGTAGACTCTGGATATGAGGATGTCTGGTTAGCTGTGAGAGCCTCTCGTGGTAGCTGATTAATGAGAGCTCTGTAAGGGGTCTGCCTTCCAGGCAGAGCCATCATTAGAAAAGGGCCACAGCCAGGCCAACTACTTTTTGAGGACCAGTGGCTATGTTGCACAGTTTGGCACAGGAAGCCACATGCCTTTGTGAAGACTTCTTTGGTGATCTGCACTGTGGGTGGGCCCATCCTGGTCAGCTGTCAGGGACAACCCTGACCTCACAGGAAGAACCTGAGGCAAGATGGTACACAGCCAGGCTGCACCTTGCATGACCCTGCACAGCTGCAGAACCTCAGCACCCTCTTCTGTAAATCAAGAGTGGCCATGGGCCAGACCTGGTGGTGCACTCCTTCAATCCCAGGCAAGGTGAGCATGTGACAAGCTGCCAGGAGTGGCACCATCAGCTTGTCCACTTACAGGCATGAGCTGCATCTGACCTTCACCGCAGCCCCAGGACTTCACCGCCTTTCACCGTCTCTAGATGACAGGTCTTACCTGGGAGTCTGGGAGTCCTGCCTCACTGAAACAGACCCACAGCACACAGGTGCTCACCCAGTACCCCACAGCAGCACTATGACAATCTTGCGAGCCACACGAGCTCCTCACAGGATGGGAAAAGTGGCCTCATGGGGACTATCTCAGTCATAGGACAGAATATAGGTCCCCAAACATCCCTCACACCCCAAGACCAGACCACCCTCCTTCTAGACTTCTGAGCAGAGCACACGTCTGCCTGCCTTTCACCAAGCTCTCTGTCCATCTCTCACAGCAGCCCTCTCAGAGTGCCGTGAGGTGTACATGGCACAGATGCCCATTCCCGTCTCATCTAATGCCTGAGAAAGATGAGGTTCAAGGGAGGCAGGTGGCTGCTGAAGCAGCCCAGCTTACAAAGGGTTCTGCTAAGACCTGAAACCAGACTCAGCCTCACCAAGTCTGGAGCCCCATCCGCCTCCTAGCTCTGTGTCCACAGGTGTATGCCCACATAATCACTCAACATTTTCTTTTAAAATTAACTTCTCCCTTTATTAACACCTTTTCATTCAACCCACAATTGTTTGCCTAAGGCAAGTGGAAATTTTAATTATAACTTCAAACCCAATTCCTGCAGCTTCCCCTCAAATTAAAGTAATAGAAAGGCAGCAATAATGAAAGTGAACAGGATGAGACCAGTCCACGTCTGTCCCCTCACCCTGCCCTCCTCAGGGAAGGGTGAGGAGTACTGGGTCAGCAGCTCCCAGTTTTGGGAGGTAGAGATGCCTCTGCGCCCCTAACCTATGCCCCTCCTCTCAGGCAGGGAGAACAAGTCACCCAGGAGACCTTCTGAGCCAGCAATGTTCCTTTATGATTCTTAAGTTGTGAAGCAAAGGGAAGCTCTCCCTGGCAATGACATCACCCTTACAGGTTCTAGGTGGACCTGGACTGGGAATATGGGCTTTCAGAAGCTGTGCGCCACCCTCCAGCTATGCCTACTCAGGCCATGGCCCCAAAGAGAACCTGTTTTGTGTGGCTTTGGGCAGAGGCTGCCTTGTTGTATACTGGAAAGCTGTGGGGACTGTGTAGGACCTGAGGATGAACCGCCTGGGGATGCCATGCAAATTCTACTCAGGCTGATGCAAGATGTGGGCCTCTGTACTGAACAAATCAAGGCTGGTTTCAGCCCCCAGGCAGTTAGAATCTCACCCAAATGTGCTGTATGCTGTGAGACAGGAGACAACACTGTCATCATCCCCCCTGGTCATCATGCTGGCTGGAGACCCAGGAAGTATACATCTATACCATGCATCTCTCATGGTGCCCAGGACCTGCCCAGAGGGCTGGCAGGGCAAGAAATGGTTATCCCAGGAGGCTGAGTTTCCAATGAGAAATGTCACTGCCCAGAGTAAGTTTCTGAGACTCTAGTCTCCAGAACTCTCCTTTCTTGTCCTGATCACCAATATGTAGGGAAAAGGAGGGAGGGAGGGAAAGAAAGACAGACAGACTGACTGACTGACTGACTGACTGACTAACTACACAAGCACATCCAGGTCAGATCCAAGCCTGGAGCTACGCAGGCCTCCTCAGCGTCCGTATGGAAAGGCTTCAGGAGGGCAATGTCCCCAGCAGGCAGTGTGGCTCTATCTGCTTCCCTGGGCTCTGTCCCAAAGACAAAGAGGTGATCCTAATCACAGAGCTCTTGTCATTCTAGGCCATAGGGACAACACTCCCATTAGCCACCACAGCTTGCTTGTGTCCAAACTATCTCAGGGACACCTTCTTTCCCAAGGTCGGGGTCAGAGGATGGCAAAGGAGATGAGTATGCCGCTGTGTAACCCTTGGGGAACCTGTGCGGCTGGGACCAGCGAGGGTACAGTGGTCAGTCATGGTAGACCTGCTCACAAGCCCTGTGCTCCTGGATTAAAGATCATCTCTATGAGCCCCTGGGATTTCCCCTAAAGAACAGGGTCTGTCGTTCTGCCTGAGGCTGCATGGCAATTCACATAAGTACCAGTATAGCCGTGGCCACCTAAAGTCAGGTTGGCCTTGGGAGAGGCTGGAGACTGTGTTCAGAGCCTGGATTGTCCAACCTGCCATGGGTCCTTGGCTGATAAGCTAGCAAGATCCTGGCTGGGCCCGGGACTAATCCAAGGACAGGGGTTGCTGGAGCCAGCACTGAGCCCAAGCCCAGGGAAAGAGGACCCAGCCAGCTGCATCCCCCAAGTGTCCCCACCTCCACTTTTCCACTTTGTCCTCATCTGAGGCTGGATGGAGCTGGCCCCAGTTGGAAGTAGTTGCCAGCAGGCACACAGCCTGCCCGTCGACCTCCTCTTCAGTCTCAAGAGCTGTGTTCACCCTTCAGTAGGCCCCACAGCCACCCCTTCCTCTGTAGGAAGTTGGAAAAGGCTGAATTCAAGGGCCAGTTGAAAAGACCAAGTATCAATACACGTGGGGGGCCGTCCAAGCCTCGGAGAGGCTCACAAAGGCCCACTGTCCCTGCTGTGCAGCCAGGAGGTGTGTCAGGACCCAAACTAAACAGCTTCATTTGGTCTTCACTCTCATCCACCTTGTGGGGGTGGGGTGGGGTGGGGTAGAGGGATGTGGGGAGCAGACTCAAGGTCACACACCCTAAGTTTCCTGGCAGGCGATGAACAGAGAACCCTGACTGTACAGAATGACTACTTATTTCCGTTCTCCAGGAGCAAAGAGACTCATGTTGTGGCCACCGCGGGGTTTCTACTGCTGAACCCCAGCAGCCAGCATTACAGGAGTACAAGGCCGGTGATGACTGAGCTCTTCTTGAACCAAACTTCACCATGCCACAGAACCTAGGTGATCAACAAAAGAGCATCTTAGGCTTCGTGCCGACTCTGGTGTGCTCGCTGCCCAGTGGGGTGACTACTGGATGAGGGGTTTCATTTCTGAGCCTCATCCAAAAGCATCCATGATGAGTCCCTGTGTTAATGCACTGCCACAGCGAATCTAATCTCAGGCAGCACCTCACCTCTTCAGGGCACTGAAAACATGACACAGAGATGGTGGGTGTTGCCGACAGGATGTAGAGAGGGCTTCGGTCACACTCTACCACATGTGAGCACTGCAGCCTTCAGGTTACTGCATCACCCAGTGCCTCGTTCCCCCATCTACACAGCTGAGCCAGCCACAATATGAATTAAGAGAATTGGTAACTGTTCCAAGTCTTAGAATGTATGGGAAGGGCTTGATAAATGTGAGCGATTACTGTCATTAGCATGTTAAAGGATGATATGCAGGGGTACACCTGAGCATCTTGACTTCTACCAACCCCAAGGAGGCCCAGCTCCAGGAGGCCAGGTTACTTCTCCCTGCACCAGGGCCCTCTCTTGCCCACTGTCTTGGCAGGTCTGTCTGCAAGTTAGTCACACCCTGTAATACGTGTTAAGATGCTTGCTAGGGAAGGGAGCCCAGGAGGCCCCAAGGCTCAGGCTCATCCACCCCCAGCCCTGGCAACAAGCTCCACTCTGCAGGCGATGACTGGGAGCCAAAGTGAAGCTCTGTGGGGACAGTGGTGGGTAAAAATAGCCTGGGCGGGCACATCTCAGCTTCCCTTGAAACCAGGCACCCGTGGGTACACGTGGACCTCCCACTGCAGAGAAGAGGCTGTGGGCAGGCACAGGGCAAGCCTCATGTTGGGGAGAACTTCACTGGTTGTTAGGCCAGGCCAGTAATGGACTCTTTTATGTAATGGCCAGCTAATAGTCTGTAGATATGGGACAGGCCAGGGTCATAATGGGTTTTCCCTTTGGGTGGCAGGAACCTGGGGGGGCAGCTTGTGACTGCCTAGAACAACATACACCTTCACAGCCCACCATGGCGTGGCTGCTCTCCTCACATAAACATGGTGGCAATGAGGTCTGGGAAACAATCCTGACTGTAACTGACTTCCACACTGTGGCTGCCAACCCTGCTGGAAGTCAGTGACCAGATGCCCATCAGTGGTGAAGAGAACCTTAGCTCCCCCAAAGGGCTACCTAGTGCCAATCAAAGGCCAAAGGTGGGACCAGGAAGTTGGGGTTGGCATGCACGCACACACACACACACACACACACACACACACACACAGAGGCCATAACCTTGACCCGCCTCCAAGGCCAAGGGAACTCACAGGTGAGCTGGTCACTAAGTCATCTCCGTTGCTCTAAGTGGCCTTACCCCGAGAGATCAGAGCTCTGTAGCCCTGAGCTTCCTGCTCTGGTGCACCAGGTGTGGGTCAGAAGACCAGACACACTACCATGTTCCTTCCCAGATGCCACCCCACCACTCCAAGGAATGGCAGCCATAGCAGGGTTTGGGCCTAGGTTCCATGTCTGCTCCTGAACCCCAAGAGAGGGTCTCATCTTAGATCAAGGCACACTTCAGCAGGAGCCCCCA